GATCATTAGAACAAGATATCATCGTCACAACACAATTCAAGCTAACAAGTCAAGAAAACTCACCGGGAAATCCCTAAAAAGTGGTATATATACTCTACATCTGGCCTCTTTAATCAAGTGTAAAGTGATTTGGTTAGTTAAGGTCATATGTCAACTTCGATGCCTGTGAGCGCGTGTCTCTGTATGTGTATGTGCCTGTTTGTGTTTGCTTATGCACGAAACCAGCAGTGATAGCTCAAAGTAAGTATGACAGCAAAAAAAGGAACGTCTGTTTTTGGCCACTTTGTACTTTAACTCACTATTTCTTTCTCGCATTGAGACCAAAACAAAAAAGGCCCATAATCAAAACCAAACAAATTTTCGACCAGGCGCAATCGGAGTGATGGTTATAGCATGTATGTAGAGAGGGGGAGATAGGGATCATCAAACCCTGATGGCAAAAAACAGACGTCCCTTTTTGCTGTCCTAATTACTTTGAGCCATCACTTCGGGTCTCGTGCATAAGCGAACACAAACATGCACATACAAATACGGAGACAGACACACTCACACGCATAGATGTTGATATATGACCTTAACTAACCAAATCACTTTATACTTTATCAAAGGCCAGATGTAGAGAATATATATCCCAATTTTTAAGGATTTGCCGGTGAGTTTTCTTGACTCGTTAGCTTGACTTGTGTTATGACGATGATATCTTGCTCTGATTATGTTCGTAATGACGGACAAAAGTATAAGACCTTCTCACCGGAATCGAAGAAGATTACCTCGGAAACAGCGTCACCTTGAATGTTCCATTAAAGCCAATCGGCAGCTAGTCAAGAGGAATCCGCCGTCGTCTTCTGGTGGAATCGACCTTCGAATCTCTTCACCCAACACTTTCACTCGAAATGGAAGTAAGCTCAACAAGTAAAGTAGTTATAACAAGAATATGAATGGGGCAACGATGAAAAGGATAAGTGAAAAGGCTTTTATACAAAAATAAAATACATCGAAAATAAAGATGAAATGTCCACATTTTTTAGAAGAATAGAACCAGATATTTAAATTAAAGTGCTAAGAATAGATCAAATAACTTACACCATAAAGGAGAATACCACGCCAAGGAGTTCGCTTGCCTGTAAATAAGTGTGGGAATTTTATGGGCAATATTACAGCCTCTTTAAGCGCTTCTTTTGCTCCTTCAAGTCCGGCAATATCCGCCCAGTGAACGTTTGGCTTTTCCATTACAATGGCTCCTTGCAATTGTGTTTGAAATCTTTTTTTTTCTAGATCATCCTCCTTATCCGAGTCATCTTCTTTTTTGCGCTCTTTGGTTCCACCATTAGGTCCATCCTTAATAAAAGTTAGACAAAGAAAAACATGACACATTTAGAGACTGATTTAAATGGAATGTAAAAATGAATCAAAATAAATTATTAATACATACTATTTGGCAGATCGCCTTCAATTTTAGGTATTTCAACCATCATTAAAAGTATACATATTAGAGGAATTCGTTTAGCAAGGGATAAATAAGCTAAGAAGAGGCAGCTTATTTACGAAAAGCATATTTTCCCCAAACCAATTCACATTCACTTCTGAAGGCAAAAAAATAAGCAAAATAATTGAAAATAAACTATGAGGGTTCTCTTGATTAAGTAAATTAATACCTCAAGAACGAAACGAAAACTATAGTTCACATCTAATAGAATATTAAATTGCTTATAAAATATGCCAGATAGGTGTATTTATCATAAAAAATTTAAGCAATGTAGAATATGTGGAAATACCGATTTCTTTTTTCCCGAAGATATATATTCCTTGATTTTCTCTGCTCTGTCTAAATATG